TAAGGTAGAACGACAAAAAGTAGAACAATTAAAAGGTAGAACAAACAAAAGGTAGAATTACAAAAGGTAGAATTACAAGAGGTAAAACGTTCAAAAGGTAGAATTTTCCAAATTAAATTTTTTTTTAAATATCAAATAAAAGTCAAAAAATAATGTTTCTTATTTATTAGGATTAATTTTTATTTTACAAATGTACATGGTTTTAATCCATGCCAATAATTGTGGCAAGCTGTTTCATATAGTCTGGTGCAGGGATATTATTATACATTTCAGTCATGTTTTTAATCCTAGAACGTCTATCTCTCTGTTTTTGTTTGCGAGCGTTCTCAGTGCTGTCTGCACCACTGGCTGAACTCTGTTCCATTCTTAATTTTCTCAAAATTATATTCATATTTCTGGTCGTCAATCAATGTTCTATTCTTCTTTTGATTCACCCCATAGTTGACCAACCTCTCCATGCTGAATTCAACCGAGAAATGCAGTTTTGAGAATTTTTTTTTTTTTAATTCGTGGATTTTCTTGTAAAAATTAGAAAATTTTCTTCCTTCTCAAAAATAAAAAAAAATTCTACCATTTGAACGTTCTACCGTCTGTAATTCTACCTTTTGAACGTTCTACCTTTTGTTTATTCTACCTTTTGATCGTTCTACCTTTTGATTGTTCTACCTTTTGTCATTCTACCTTTTGTCATTCTACCTTTTGTAATTCTACCTTTTGTAATTCTACCTTTTGTACATGAGCCTAAAAATGAATAATATATTTGTAAATGGATAAAAGGATAAATGGATAAATGAATAGCTGAATTAGCTGAATAAATGGTTCATCTCCAGGTTCCAAGTCAGAGCTGAAGGCTTACCCTGGAGAGCTTCGGTTAGAGGACGCAGGAGTCTGGCTGCACCTTGGATAAATCATCTGTAGAAATTTAGAATTCCTAGGAAATGCTGTAGACCTTTCTTGTCTGTAGGACAGGGGAAGGCGGAGATAATCTGTGTGTTTAACTAGATCTCAAACTGATCCTGAGACTCTCATACCAAGATAATCCATTGTAGGGGCTGCAAACATATGTGGAGGAGATCAAAGACACTTTGCACATGTTCAAGATGAGAAACAGGGTCAAGGCTGGTGATAAGGACGTCATCCACTTACACAAAACAATATGTAAGTCCTTGAAAGATCTGATCCATTAACCTCTGTAAGGTACATTCACTGTTCCTGAGGTCGAATGGCATCTTCAACCACTCAAAAAGTCTAAAGTCAGTCTTAGGAATGTCTCCAGTAGTCATTGGAACCTGATGATATCCCTTGGTCAGATCTAATTTAGTAAACACCTTGGAACCGTAAAGCCTAGCTAAGAAGTCTGCAATGTTTGGCAAAGGATATCTATCAGGAATGGTTTGACATTTATGCTCAACAAGTTTTGATTTTTGAAGGTGAAAAATTGCCATAGATCACAATTAGGAAGGAAATCCTGAGACTAGTACATTTTGGTATTCAATGTTTTAATTGTGATTGTACAAAATTATGTTTACGAAATAATTCCCCTTGGAACAAAGACGATATAAACGTTGTCATTTGATTCCCATGTTTATTGTGACACCCTGTATCTAGCCCAAGTAATGTTTGACCAGTTAGAAAGTGGACTGTTAAACCTATATAAAACCTCGAAACTCCGGATTACAATTCATTCAATATTTTTAGATAGATTAATAAAATTAAATTTCAATTCTAAATCTTAAAAATTCACAACATTTCCTTTTTTATCTTAAAAGCATAAGTTTTAAAATAAATTTATAAACTGCTATCCTTAAAGTATATTGGTGTATCATGCAATTAGTTCATTGGTATACTGAAAATGAAATAGCTTTTTCTAATATATCTTCTGCCAAGAACTAGCCCTAGAAGCTGTCAAATATTCAAGGTAATACATTGAACATACATAGTAATTAACCATTGGTGCAACAAGAGGATTTATAAAGAGGTTGGGGNGTAAATATGAAATAAGTAGAAACATGAAAAGAATTTTGCCCTTCGCGCAAAAATGTGAGTTATTAAAAATAAAGGAAAAAACAGAATATATTCTGATAATCTTTTCATTTAAAAACATTGTATCAATTGTAGCTTATATTGATTTTAAATTATTTCAATTTATAATCATTTTTCCCGTTTATAAATTTATCCTCGAATAGATCCTGTAATCCCGCAATATACTTAGATGTCGTCTTTGTTTCAGAAGAAAAGCATATATTTTATAGGAAAAGTTCAAGAAAGCACGACGGTTTTGGGATAATCTAATTCTATGAATAGATTTTAACATACATATAGAAAAGATTTAGAAGCGTCAGCAGCACGCCAAAACCTTGATTTAGTCAGAGTAGCGTGTTGAAAATACTATTTTAAGAGTTTTAAATGAAAAAGGGGGCTTTTGGTCGAAATTTAAACTAAAACATAACATTTAAACAACTTATAATAAACTCATTTTGGCTGACCCCCCCCCCCCACAAACACACCTAATACCCCACTGTGTGGGGGGGGTGATCAAGAATTAAAGATTTGCAACAAAAAACTTTTAAAAAGAAGCTTTTTCCTAATAAATATCTTGTATCTTAATAATATAAAGCTACATTTATGACCGCTTTTAGGAATTTTAAAATAATAAAAAAGATATAATTTTATTTTCTAAATTTTAATTTATGTTGATAAATTTTCTTTAATGGATTTTTCTCATAAAGAAAACAAAGAGATAAAAGATCCATTATAGTAAAGGAAGAGAGATGACAAGGCAATTTATTAGGGTCTATTCTTCCCAAGGTCCTGATTTTTCAATGTCATTTTGATAATTTTTTACGCGGCGCACAGAAACACGAATTTGACCACTAAAAAGAAAACTTTTTGAGAGAGGATCATCTTTGCACTTGAAAACGCATGGACGCACAGAAAAAGTTGTGGTCCGGATTTGTTATGTCATTTTAATGTTTTTATTCGTGGCTCCTCCTCGTAGTTGGTAATTTTACAATATTATATATCATGTCCACAAATTGTTCAGTGGTAGGAGTAAAGTTGCAAAACTAAGATTGAGATAAAGAAGTCTTAAATTATGATGCTGCGCAGTCTTTATTTTAATCATCATACAATCGAGAAGACAATTTTGACCTCTAGAAATTGAGTCTTTGTCACAAACTCTGATTTTCTAATTCCTATTTCTTTGCTGCCTGTTGTCTGAGACCTTATATAGTTAAAACTATGAATTCTGTCAGATCAAATAATTAAAGTTTAAAATATCAAAGGTTTACACCATGATACCATGATACACAGATATAGGGATTAGAAAATTCGAATGATTATAAAGGATTTGAGTCTTTGCAACAAACTCAAATTTTCTAATCCCAATATCTATCGAACCTGATGGTGTACATCTTAAATATTTCAAACTTAGATTATAAGCTCTAGCAGAACTAATAGTTTGAAATATCAAAGGTCTACAACATTTGGTTGCAAATATATAGAAGTTAGAAAACCAGAGTTTGTGGCAAAGACTCAATTCCTTTATAAATTATAAATTTTAAGAGATTCACTCGCAAAATTATTTAGGAACCATAGAGAATGGGAAAAACTTTAATGTCATTTTTTCTTATTTTTGGTAAATCCTAATCAGAGGCGCAACTAGGGGGGGGCTAGCACGCGCCACCCCCTAGAATGAAAAGAAAGATTGGCGAAAATCAGTATCACAGGAGTCAGGAATAATAAAACAAAATTGTATTCTACTATTAAAAAAAAAACATTTTTATCTTTCTGAATTAAACATTTAATGTAAAAAAGTTTCGAACTGGAAAAAGTTCCGATCTAGAGAACTGAACCTGGCAAACTTCTAACTGATTATCATATTTAAAAACTGTAACTTGATAACTGTAACCTATTTATCTTCTTTGAAAGAACTTCTATAAAATCGAAAATGAATGATCAATCATAAATTGAATAACTGCAGGAGAAAACGAAACATTATCTGTCTTTTTTCAATGTAGATGATTAAAATTATATATGTATTTTGATGTGTTTTTTTTCGGAATATATAAATGATTATTTCTTGTAATTATATCTGTAATTAAACCAGATACTTAACAAATTTTCTTTGGCGTTTGAGTCAAATGTTTTTGTGAGATTATTAAGCAATCAAAAATGTTATGAGCTTTTTCTGCTTATATTTGAATTATTAACCTGATTTAGATTTTTATCTTTTATTCTTTTTATTGACCGATAAACTGTTACTGGCTCTGAGAGTATATATACTATATAGTATTGTATCTCTAAAGAATACTTTGTCTTGAAAAAGGTTTTACCTGGTTAATGAGCCCTTAAATGTCATAAACCCCTAGCAAAACATCCCATCTATATTTAATTCAGTTCCAGTCTCCCACTATCCCTGCTAGCAACAACACATCTCTGTGACTCTCTCTCTCCTAGCCTGAAACCAGCTGACCCAGCTAGCTGTTGCTATGGCGGGGAGTTTAAAACACAAACAATGAGAATTACACATAAACTCTTGGAGTTGTAAAGGGAGTCAGCTGCGAAATATTGCACTGGCATTCAAAGTCTAATCTGTGTCTATCATATGAATCATTTATATAGAAAATAAATAATGTAGTTTTTCCATTTATGAAGGTTGTTAACTTGTGATACATTTTTAATATCTTAATCTCTGCTACAAAATAAATATTTAGATCTAAAAAAAATATATTTATTTCGTGGAACACCCTGTAAAATGATAAACTTGTCAGTTTACAGCACGCGTTGCCTCCATCTTAGCCCTTCATTTTAAAATATAACAAGGAAAACAAATTTTGCGGATTTTTCTATTTTTATTTTTAATCGAAATTATTATGACTTTAACCAGCCCAAATCCATCCTCGGGGTCATGCTCGTTAATTACTTGATAAGTATTTCAATCTTGCTTCTAATTTTTGCTTGTGCAAAAAGGATTTGGAGGTTAGATTGCAAAATTTTGCCCTGCTCAGTTCAGCCGCTTTGAAACAAACACACACACAAGATACGTATACATATATAGAACACATTGGTATAAGCTCTGATATTGTCTTGTTTCTACAAGTCTATATTTTCTACCAATTAACTTTAACAAATAGTATATATATATTGTTACTACTAAAATGTAGCAAGTTTAAACAGTTCATGAAACAACGGGATACAAATATCAAAATAAAGATTCAAAATCTAAACATGGTTTTCAAGTTCAGGATGTAACACCAACGAAGATTATGTGAGAGAATTTAAAAACTTTAAAAGATAGTTTTTATTCTCGACTCCATTAGGAAAACAATAAAACATGAATCTAATACAAATATATTTAATGCTGGGGGTTTGGTCACTGTAGATAGTTTTCAAGAAGATAAACTGTGGTTTTCAGTAAAAGAAATTGTGTATTTTCAATATAAACAGTCAAAAATTGTGTTCAACCACTGTGGAAGGAAATTGTTAAATTTACGTTCCAGCGATTAATGTTTGGCAGATGATGTTTTGCAGGTCAGATTGGTTTTAAAATAATGGTCAGCAAATTATCTGGCTTATCTGTTTATTAGAAGTAATGTGGTTTATGTGGTTTAATAATGCAGGTGAGCTAGGGCAGTGTTGAAAAGTTTTTAGAAGATACAGTAAGAACACGAAAACTTTAAAAAATAGGAAGACGACTTTTAGAATCAAGTTATTATTTTTAAAAGTCTAATGAGCATGAGACACAGCTATTATGCAGTGTAAAGATTTTACTAAATCGGTGACTTAATAAGTGTCTATTAAAACTATTCACCTTGTAACACTACCAAATACACGTAAGTAATGCGATAGTGTCTTCTTATTCCAATGTTTTCTGGTTATCACTGCAGATGTAAATATATTTACATTAACATGAATGTAAAATAAGTACTTTTGAGATGAAATAATTCCAAGTTTGTTCACCTCATTCATTACTGATTTATCGCATCAATTTATAATTTTCTAATCCCCAAATCTTTGCAACTTATAGAGTACACCTTTGATTGTTTGATCTTTGACTTTTTGATATTGCAGAACTCAAAGTTTGAAATAGAAAAAGTAAATAGCATCAGGTTGCAAAGATATCGTCAGATGGCGTCAGATTGAGTTTGTAGAGAGTAATCATTAGTCTCTTCAAATATTATTTTTCTTTCCTTTTCGATGTAAGATATTATAATACAATCCGTACAATTTAAAATACATTTACAAAGTACTGAACAGTGTATATGCCGCATTTAAAAGAGTTAAAAATAGTATTTATAAGTTTCTTTACTAGATGTAGTTTGTGTACAATTAACACCTTACTGAAATCCATAATCTCTGTGCTCAGCAGTCAACCCAGGTTTTTCAATAAAAACAGTTCTTTTGTGTAAAATGCAATAGTTCCGGTTCTTTCTTGAATAGAAACATTTTATATTATATACAGCCATATTACTTTATGTATATATCATTCAACAACAAATAACATAGTATTCTTCTAGAAGGAGGTTGCATCATAAATAAAATGTCTAACTTTCTGTTTGGCAATAGCTTTTCAGTTTAGAAACCAAAATCTCCAAAGTCTGCTCCAACATCTGTATCTCCGACATCGCAGTCTGGTTCATCATCAAACCCTGAACAGTTGATGTTACAAGCATGCTAGTTATAATCAAACCCTGAACAGTTCACGTTACAACATCATCAAACCCTGAGAGTTCATTTTATAAGCATGCTAGTCCGGGCTAGTTGTCTTCATCAAACCCTGAACAGTTCATGTTATAAGCATGCTAGTCATCATCAAACCCTGAACAGTTGATGTTACAAGCATGCTAGTTATAATCAAACCCTGAACAGTTCACGTTACAACATCATCAAACCCTGAACAGTTCATGTTACAAGCATGCTAGTCATCATCAAACCCTGAACAGTTCATGTTACAAGCATGCTAATCATCATCAAACCCTGAACAGTTCATGTTAAAAGCAGGCTAGTCATCATAAAACCTTGAATAGTTCATGTTACAAGCATTCTAGTCATCATCAAACCCTGAACAGTTCATGTTACAAGCATGCTATTCATCATAAAACCCTTAGCAGTTCATGTTACAAGCATGCTAGTCATCATCAAACCCTTAATAGTTCATGTTACAAGCATGCTAGTATGAGGAAGGAGGAACTGATATTCTAGTTATAGTTTCTAATATAAGGAAGGAGGAACTGATATTCTAGGCATAGTTTCTAATATAAGGAAGGAGAAACTGATATTCTAGGTATAGTTTCTCATATAAGGAAGGAGGAACTGATAAGTATAGTTTCTAATATGAGGAAGGAGGAACTGATATTCTAGGTATAGTTTCTAATATGAGGAAGGAGGAACGGATATTCTAGGTAAAGTTTCTAATATCAGGAAGGAGGAACGGATATTCTAGGTATAGTTTCTAATATGAGGAAGGAGGAACTGATATTCTAGATAAAGTTTGCATAGAATATAGTTCTGATCACTAAAGTTTATCTATTTCCTCGTCTGATCCTGTAATTTTTTATGCACACAATACACCCCCCNGGGCTCAGTTAACAAAGCCCCCCCCCCCCCCACAACCTTTAGCAGAACAATCATGTTCCCGTTTCCAAAGTTCTGTAGCAAATAAATTTTATTTTTTTCTTCTGCTGCTTTGTATAAATATATGAGTGCAATATGATTTAGACATATAAATATGACACGTCAGTTATGATGTATTAGGATCTAATATATGATGTATTAGGATCTAATATTTATGAGAAAATTTCCACGCACTGCATTAATATCTAATATTTATTGCATTAATGAAAAGGTTTAATGTTATTAAAGCAAAAAAATGGTTTTAGAGGATATATTTTGTTTTCATTACTATAATAATATACCCCCTATTGACAGTTGTATTACGTTTGTTTAGTGCATTTTTAAACTATTTTTTGCTCATTTAAATAATAAACTCATATGAAACAAGCAAACATTTTTGTCGAAACGTGTAAAACAAAAAATAGCCTTTTTTGCATTTGGCCTATACCCCCTTTCATTTTACGCGAACACTCCCTTTAAGGAGGGTTAACAGGTTAGGTATTCTCTACATAATTCACAGGGGAAGAAACAATCTTTTAGTTCATTGAATATGAAAAATCAACTATATACAAATGTGGCGAAAGATAATCGATGACCATAGTGTGTAATATCTAAATGATTTGTTTGAAATTAAATAGATTTTTTTACGGTCTAAGTCGTATGTTTCATCTTTCTGAATTTGTATGGATACTGCGTTCTTCGGTATTAGTCGTTTTTAACAGTTTTCTCCTTATAGACGCAATTGATAGAAGTAAGATTAGAAGCGATCAAGAGCGCTTTTTTATCGCATTAAGCCTATCCCCCCTTTCATTTTTCGCGAACACTCTCTTTAAAAGGACTATATATAATTGTATTACAAGGCACCCGTCAAGAACTCATATTCATGCTGTTTCATCTTTTAAAATTTTCAAAGCTGCGGTTTCTTCGTAGAAGTGATTTGCAAATCAATGCCACAGAAACAATGGAGGAAAATGTTATAATTTATTAAACCCTTTTAAACTAGGAAAACGAGAAAATGGATCAGCTTAAGGTTTCAAGGGTACGGTTGTGAATCGAGGAAGGCCCTCTGTCAATAAAGGTTCACTTAAAATCGCAAGAACAGTCCCTTGAATGTTAATACTTGTAATTTGATAAAGATGATATACCTGGCATTGAGTGAACTAGTGGAGAAGTACCCATATTAGATATACCTGGCATTGAGTGAACTAGTGGAGAAGTACCCATATTAGATTCCAGCAGAGCACAAGTTCCACAAAACTCATAGCTGTGTAACCAACCGTTCCCTTTACATTTAGTTCTTAAACACAACCATTTTGGAATTTTATTTCTCTTCACTTTGTGAATATTTTCATAGTTCTTAAACATTTTAAATTCTTGTGCCCCAGGATTAATTTTAATAAAAATATTATTCTTTTAAGATTTCTCCCTTTTAGGTGTTGTATATATTCATATATGTATATATATTTTGAAATATTTTTATTTTTTTTCTCAAAGTTTTAAATACTTGTAACAAAACTAAACTTCTCTTTCCGTTTCTATGGAACTAAATCTCCAAATTATTAAATCTTTAAATTTATTTTTATTTAATTTCTCTTTTCCTTTAGCTTACCAGTGCCCCATCCAGAAGCCAGCCCAGCAATGAACATTAACTCTTCACCTGTTTAAAATCAAAATGAGTTCAGGGTTAAAAATATCAAATAATTTTTGCCCCAATAAAAAGTATACAGCAAATTGAAAGAAACATTTACAGAAGAAATAGAGTTTGATGCCAGAACTCAGATTATATATAGTTAAGTTTTGAAGAGTTGTTTTTTCTATTTGTAAACTTAAATAATGTTTCTAATAATTTTTCTGGGATTAACTGAATTTTAACCTCTATTCTCAGAAACCCTGGGTTGCAGGGGAAATCATTTGATTGATTGATTTTATTTTAATCTAAGTTTGAAATATCAATAATTTACACCATCAAGTTTCAAAGATATAGGGTTTAGAAAATAGAGTTTGTTGCAAAAACTCAAAAGATATATAATTTAGTTTTGAAGAGTTTTTTTTTCTATTTGAAAACTTAAATAATGTTTCTGTTCTGGGATTAACTGAATTTAAACCTCTATTCTCAGAAAGCTTGGGTTGCAGGGGAAATCATTTGATTTTAATTTATAACTGTTAAAGGGACCTTCCATTGAAAAAGAGACATGTCCGATTCCCAGCAATACCCGTGGATGATATGGTCTAAAACGACCATATCATCCACCAAATCATCTTCATTGAAAAGTGTTTAATTCTGGCAATTTACTCAAATGTTTCTGAAGCAGTAACCCACAAGCTACTGTAAGTAGATCATGTATGTTTCATGAAATCTTTATCAGACATTTCTTTAAGGAGTACCTTTGTAAATCCGACATGACACTCTATAAATGCAGAGACCAACAAATTCTACAGTATACTAATTAGATGTATAGGAACAGGTTGAGAAAATAAAACTTAACTCTTGTAATGGAAAATAAGTAATCTTATTCAGTTATTGGTTTCTATAAAGTCTCAATGTTTAAAACCATTTTCTGTAGATTTCTTGGAATTCTAAATGAAAAGACGACATTTAAAGAATTTGTAGAAATCTGCCAACAAATTTATAAAGAATAATAAAATCAAAATAATGATGAAAATAAATAATTAATTCTAAAATTGAATTATTGACAAATTTCTAATAAGAAACATATGTTCCTAATCATCTTATTAGTTTACTGTTGAAATTCTCAAAATCATCCCTCCAAAATGGAAAATCAATCAGGATTTTAAATATTGAATTTGCGCTCTTGCTGAACAAATAAACACCGTTAAAACATCTTATAATATATGGGTCTCAAATAAATCCTAAAAAAATTCTCAATAACACTGCAATCTCAGTTCAACTACCATACATTGCCGCTTACTCCCTTTAAGTTTGATGCAAAAAGGGGATGGATTAGGTATCTTTTTATTGCCAAAACTTTAAAGTAGTTTGTTAATTAAAGAAACTAAAGTATCAGAGATAACAAGACCAAACTTAATGCATTGTGGTTCTTTTTCTAATAGTCCTAGTTATCTGATTCATCTGATTGTTTAAAAAAAAATTACCTCCTGAGGTTCTCAAGTCCATTGATGATGGCAAACTATTCTCATCCGTAGGAAAGAGACAGGGGCTGGATAAACTACAACGTCTTAGCTCTGGACCGTTCTGCTTGAACTCACTACTCTGCAAGGTCGTCTTTGAGCCCACGTGTAGCGGCAATTGTAGTTGGGTGGTGTTGCTACGTGATAGAAGAGCCTGGCTGTTACTTGTTATCAAGGGATTCATTGCTTCTAAACGAGAAAAAAAACCTTTTCAGTTTGCCTGACGACTTCTATTAGGTGAAAACGATCCAGTTTTCAAAGCTCAGTTAAACGTTTTAGAAAATGTCAACCCCAGAATAAAAAATAAAAATAAAATATTTTTTAAAGAACCAAATAGGTTGCTTTGGTAATTATTATAATAATGGTTGATTTTGTATTCAAACCTTTACCAATTTCCCCATCCAATTTAGCCGTTTATTCTGCCTTAATTTATCATCGAATAATATCCAGAAAGCCTCAAAGTCCGGTAGTTTATGTGTATTATTGGCTCAGGAAATTAAACTTTAAAATTTAGGAAATCAGAAAATTCAAGTTTGACATGACTGGCAGACACCTGACTAGAGATTAAACTAAACATTAATGTCTAAAACTAAGAACCCCAGAAAAGTTAACGCTAAACAATTCTGTAAACTTTAAATGTATAACAATTATTGCTTGAAGGGATTTAGTCAATTCTTAAAGGGAGTGACCGGCTATGTAAGGTAGTTGAACTGAGTATGCAGTGTAGGGGGAAAACTTCTTTCGGATTCATTTGAGACATATTAAACTTTTTAAAGATCTGTAAATCCTGAGTTTGAGGAGTTTGAGCGCAAATTCGACGTTCAAAACTCCTTCTTTGGGGGTGGATACGTTTTCAGAATTATTTTTTTTAAATTGTTAAATAACGATGACATAAAATGCAAAAAAAGTTCTACAATAAACTACAGACGTCATGTATAGGAACATGTTGAGAAAATAAAAATTAATCTTAACATCGAAAATAAGTAATCTTGTTAAATTATTAAAATCTATTTTCTCATTATTCTGGTTTATCGTTATTTACAAAGATTTTCGCAGATTTTCTAGAATTATTATTGAAAAGACGACATTTGAAGAATTTGAAGAAATCTGCAAATAAATTCAAAGAAAATAAGAAATTCAATATAATAAGGAAAACGAAATAATCGATTTTAGCATTGATTTATTTACAAATTTCTTTTGAGAAATATGTTCCTAACCATTTCATTAGTTTACTGTATAATTTTTACTTTATTTTTTGATATCGTTATTTAATAATTTAAAAAAAACTAATTCTGAAAACGAATCCACCACCAAAGTAGGTGTTTTGAACGTCTAATTTGCGCTCAAACTCAGAATTTACAGATCTTAAAAAGGTTTAACATGTCTCAAATGAATCCGAAAGAAGTTTTCCACAACACTGCATACTCAGTTCAACTACCTTAGATAGACGGTCACTCCCATTAAAAGGAGACAATTCCTTATTTTCATTCGTTTTTCTTTTTATGACTGGCTGAAAAAAAGGAAAAAAAGAACATAACTAAATGATGTTTAAAAATCCAGCTTTCTACAAGTCATTAGCAAATCAACGCTACATGCGAGTAAGAAAAATCAATTATCTAAACCTAATAGTTAAAACTACGGAAACACAGAAAGCAAGATCAGCCCGCGTAACAAAAAGTGTTCACTACAGTTTAAAGGGTTACCCATGGTCAAGTTTTTTTATTGAGACAACGGTGCAACACAAAATGTTTGGTACATAATTTTTAACCAATCTTAAGCAAAACAAAATAAGTGATAGACCTCAATAACAAACTGGAAATAGATTTCATTTTGTGTGCGTGAGCTTGTCTCTCCCCCCTTAATCAAATAAATTATTAAAGTTAAAAAGTTAAAGGGATTTGGAATTACAAAATAAAACCTTGTGAAATAGGTAAATATTTAAATAATTAAAAAATGGAAAATTCTTGAATAAAATTGAGGAATGAAAAGTTTTTTTACACTGCTTCTTAAATTTACATATATATCTTAGACTAAACCATGTTACTATACTATCAAGATATAGAAAGTGATTTACTTAGACTAAACCATCTTACTATTCTATCAAGATATAGAAAGTGTTACTATATATGCTATCAAGATATAGAAAGTGATTTACTTGGTGGGTTCTCCAGGTTTAAAAAGTTCTGTTGATTGATGTTCCAGTCTTCAAGAGGAGGTGGAGGGGGTGGGGGCAGCTGAAAACATAAAACATTTTAAAACTGGGAAAAGCAAAGGATATTACAATCTGAACTATATAAGAGTTGTAATTGTAACTTTATAGAAATAGAAATATTGGATAAATATGAGTAAACAGTGTAAGAATCTGTAGGTTAATCTTTTGCTGTTCAATGAATTACATTAAGGCCTTCTGGATATCTATTCAGGTTCTGGATATCTATTCAGGTTCTGGATATCTATTCAGGTTCTGGATATATATTCAGGTTCTGGATATCTATTCAGGTTCTGGATATCTATTCAGGTTCTGGATATCTATTCAGGTTCTGGATATCTTTTCAGGTTCTAGATATCTATTCAGGTTCTGGATATCTATTCAGGTTCTGGATATCTATTCAGGTTCGGCCAAAATAAATCTGCTCTTAACCAATAAGAGATTAAAGAAAGGCGCTACGACATTTGATCAAGCGACAAACGATCCAGCGACAGTTGTCCTATTCTAGCTTTTAAAATTTGAAATAAGTTATCTTTGTTTTCCCAAATAGATTATCAACTATGATTATATGTCGCATGGATCAAATGTCCTTATCCAGTAATGACTGGATCAAGTGTCGACTGGATGACTTGTCGCTGGATCAAATGTCGTGGCGCCTTAAATATATACGAGTCAGCTGTTTTTCAAGATTTAAGTGCTGAATCGTCTTTGCTAAATAATGACCATTGTAGACACAAACAAGTTTCCACCTTAGATTTTCTAAGAAGTAGTTTTGTTTGCCTGGCAACAGATTCTATTTTTTAGTTCATGAATTGATAATATCAAAAAGATTAAAAATAAAAGACCAAAAAAACAATTTCCCGGGATATGAAAATTAGGATGTTTTTTCCTTTTATAGAGAAAATATGAAAATGGGAGAACTGAGAAGGACGGACAGAAATCTAATAAAACAATTCTTTAGAATCATATTTGCAAACTCTATCATAACACAAAACTGAAACAAACTTCTTTTCTTTATTATTATAGGTTCCATAGTTTCAGCATAAAGGGTGGTGTTTCCGGCTATATGGTCCGACATTCCTGATTCTTATAGTTTCCGGCTATATGATCTGACATTCCTGATTCCTGTAGTTTCCGGCTATATGGTCCGACATTCCTGATTCTTATAGTTTCCGGCTATATGATCTGACATTCCTGATTCCTGTAGTTTCCGGCTACGACATTCCTGATTCTTATAGTTTCCGGCTATATGATCTGACATTCCTGATTCCTGTAGTTTCCGGCTATATGGTCCGACATTCCTGATTCTTATGGTTTCCGGCTATATGATCTGACATTCCTGATTCTTATAGTTTCCGGATATATGGTCCGACATTACTGATTCTTGTAGTTTCCTGCTATATGGTCCGACATTCCTGATTCCTGTAGTTTCCGGCTATATGATCTGACATTCCTGATTCTTATAGTTTCCGGCTATTTGGTCCGACATTCCTAATTCTCATAGTTTCCGGCTATATGGTCCGACATTCCTGATTCTTGTAGTTTCCGGCTATTTGGTCCGACATTCCTGATTCTCGTAGTTTCCGGCTATGTGGTCCGACATTCCTGATTCTTGTAGTTTCCGGCTATATGGTCCGACATTCCTGATTCCTGTAGTTTCCGGCTATATGGCCCGACATTCCTTATTCTTATAGTTTCCGGTTATATAGTCCGATATTCCTTATTCTTATAGTTTCCGGCTATATGACCTGTTATTTCTGATTCTTGTAGTTTCCGGCTATATGGTCCGACATTCCTGATTCTTGTAGTTTCCGGCTATATAGCCCAACATTCCTTATTCTTATAGTTTCCGGTTATATAGTCCGATATTCCTTATTCTTATAGTTTCCGGTTATATAGTCCGACATTCCTTATTCTTATAGTTTCCGGTTATATAGTCCGATATTCCTTATTCTTATAGTTTCCGGCTATATAGCCCGACATTCCTTATTCTTGGAGTTTCCGGCTATATGGTCCGACATTCCTGATTCTTGTAGTTTCCGACTATATGGTCCGACATTCCTGATTCTTGTAGTTTCCTGCTATATGGTCCGACATTCCTGATTCTTGTAGTTTCCGACTATATGGTCCGACATTCCTGATTCATGTAGTTTCCGGCTATATGGTCCGATATTCCTGATTCTTGTAGCTTCCGGCTATATGGTCCGACATTCCTGATTCCTGTAGTTTCCGGCTATATGGTCCGACATTCCTGATTTCTGTAGTTTCCGGCTATATGGTCCGACATTCCTGATTCCTGTAGTTTCCGGCTATATGGTCCGACAATCCTGATTCCTGTAGTTTCCGGCTATATGGTCCGACATTCCTTATTCCTGTAGTTTCCGGCTATATGATCTGTTATTCCTGATTCCTGTAGTTTCCGGCTATATGGTCCGACATTCCTGATTCTTGTAGTTTCCGGCTATATGGTCCGACATTTCTGATTCTTGAAGTTTTCGGCTATATGGTCCGATATTCCTGATTCCTGTAGTTTCCGGCTTTAAGGTCCGACATTACTGATTCCTGTAGTTTCCGGCTATATGGTTCTTGTAGTTTCCGGCTATATAATCCGACATTCCTGATTCCTGTAGTGTCCGGCTATATAGTCCGACGTCCTGGTTCTTATAGTTTCCGGCTATATGGTCCGACATTCCTGATTCCTACATCGTTTTAGCTCCGCCTTATTAACATCATGGGTTATTTGACTTTTAAAGAAACTTTAAGCTTAATTTCGAGTGAACTTTCTTTATTAAAGAGGCCGATTCACTCTTTAAACAACAATGCTGTAGACACCCTCATTTGTGTAGCTGAAGATTGAGTGCCGATTTCTTGGCACTTAATTTACCGCTACAAAAATAATAATATCTACGAAATCCTTGATCAAGCAAAGGTTTAAAGTTTATCGTTGTACATCGGACATGCCACTCTAAAAATGGAAGGTCACTTGAAATTACGCTTACAGCCCCTTTAACAGGCTGTCCAATACTCTGATATGATTAACCATTTTAAAATGGTTTACTCGAAAGGTTTACCAAAGAAATTATATAATTTTTTAAAACTATAATGTCGATAAATCGTGTTTAAAAATAGTTTTTGTTTATATTTTTGGTCAGAGAATTACGAATTCTTTTGTTTTAAACATCTCAGATTCTTTACTGGCACCTTCAACGCCAAAACCCCTGAAATGTGTAAAACGGATCTAAACATTATGCCCGTTCCTAGTTGGAGGGGGGGGGGGGAAGAAGAAGCAACAATTAAATATTCATTTTAAGATTCTTAGATTGAAAAATTTGGAAAAACTTCTCAAAATTTGCAAAGTTTTAATTAGTTTCTAATTGAAAATAAGTTATCTGATTAAATAAAACTTAATTCAGTTCACAATCACAATCCTTTCTTTAAAATTAACATCTAAATTGTAATTTTGGTTTCTCAAGTTCTACAAGTTAGGTTTCTCAGTCATGTTTCAGCAGAAGTTTCTCAAACCTCTATCCTTATAATTTCGAATTCATTTTATTATACATTTTAATTATTAACATCCAATAAAAAAACGTTTGCTTTTAATCCATTTTTTATTACGGGAAATAAAAAACTTTATACTTTTCCTCATTTTTTCAATAAATTTACTTCAAATCTAATATCTTTGCACTTTTTTTTTGTTTTTTAGATAAAAACTAAACAATTTTCCATGAAACATGCACGAATACTTTTTTTTAATAACTATGATATAAATGAGGTTTATAGAAACCTAGAAATGAAAAAGAGTCTTTTTTTCCGATAAACAATTATAGTAAAGAAAATTAGGGAAGAAGAAATACAAAATAGATTTTTATAATCCTTCTTGTTCATAAAGAACCTTCTTGTATATAAAGAACCTTCTTGTTCATAAAGAACCTTCTTGTTCATAAAGAACCTTCTTGTTCATAAAGAACCTTCTTGTTTATTAAGAACCTGCCTTGCGAAAGGAATTTGTTTTCAGGATATAAAAGTGACAACAAGTAATCCCAAGGTTGCAAGCTTTCACGCAAGACTCATTTGCAAATTTGCTAAATAAAGGGAAAGTGAGAAAAAAATCAAAGGACACTTTGAAGTCGATAAATCGTGAAAATTTGATTCAACTTTTGCATTACAGCAGTCCAGTCTGGATCTTTGTGAAGTGGAAAACATATAAACATAGAGAATAGAATATATAGAGAGGAATTTACTGGAAAAAAGTGTAAAACGGCCATTTTGTTGTACTGTTTCCATACTGCAGGTGTACTTCACATATTTATGCTATATAACCTGTTGGGCCCTGGAATATCATTTTATAGAAAATCTAAAATTATTGTTAAAAGAAACCCAAATTATGATTATGAAATAGGCTGGTTTCATAATTGACCAATGATCATTTCACATAGACTCTATGCCTTCCACTTTACAAATGATGATTTTCCGTTATAACTATAAATCAAATGATGATTTTTATTTACCTTATTCATTTTATAAAGTTTATTTAACAGTTTAAAGAATTCGAAATTGAAATGGATAGTCTAGGGAACATACTGTATTAATGTACTCTACTGCATATAATTTGTGAACATTTACATGATTTGTACACTTTGAACTCCCTTTCAGGCTGAAAGGGACTGAAAATATTCATACCGAGAGATTCTTTTAATTCCTCTCTATATATTCTATTCTCTATGCATATAAACCTAGTGTATTGTCTGCAGCCGCAATAGAAGTTGTTTTGCATAACATCAGTGCATTCTGGATCTATTTGAAGTGGAAAACATATAAAGCTAGTGTATTGCCTGCAGCCGCAATAGAAGATGTTTTCTTCCGAAAATTAGTTTTAGACGAAGAAAATTATATTAATCAATTTAACAGCTTCCATTTTATCTCATTCAGCAGGATAATTTTTCATTTATTCTCATCCTGGAGGATAATCTTTCATCCATTCTCATCCAGCAGGATAATTTTTCATTTCTTCTCATCCTGGAGGATAATCTTTCATTTATTCTCATCCTGGAGGATATTTTTCCGTTTATTCTCATCCTAGAGGATAATCTTTCATTCATTCTCATCCAGCAGGATATTTTTCATTTATTCTCATCCTGGAGGATAATCTTTCATTTATTCTCATCCAACAGGATAATTTTCCATTTATTCTCATCCTGAAGGATAATCTTACATTTATTCTCATCCTGGAGGATAATCTTACATTTTTTCTCATCCTGGAGGATAATCTTCCATTCATTCTCATTCAGCAGGATATTTTTCCATTTATTCTCATCCTGGAGGATAATCTTTCATTCATTCTCATCCAGCAGGATAATTTTCCATTTATTCTCATCCTGGAGGATAATCTTCTATTCATTCTCATCCAGAAGGATAATCTTCCATTCATTTTCATTCAGCTCAGGATAATTTTCCATTTATTCTCATCCTGGAGGATAATCTTCTATTCATTCTCATCCAGAAGGATAATCTTCCATTCATTTTCATTCAGCTGGAAAATCTTATTCTCAGCCATAAGGATAATCTTCCATTCATTCTCATCCTGGAAGATAATCTTCCATTAATTTTTTATCCAGAAGAATAATCTTACATTTATTTGCTTTCAGCAGGATAATCTTCCATGCATTCTCATCCAGAAGGATAATCTCCATTCATTCTCATCCTTGAGGATAATCTTCCATTCATTCTCATCCATAAGGATAATCTTCTATTTATTCTTATCCAGCAGGATAATCTTCCATTCATTTGCATTCAGCAGGAATCAGGATAATCTTCCATTTATTCTCATCCTGGAGGATAATATTCCATTCATTCTTATCCTGGAGGATAATCTTCCATTCATTCTCATCCAAAAGGATAATCATCTATTTATTCTCATTCATCAGAATATTCTTCCGTTCATTCTTATCCAGCAGGATAATCTTCCATTCAACCTCATCCAGCAGGATAATATTCTATTCATTCTCATCCATTCAAGAAAAGGATAGAAAGGGGATAAAAAAGTGGAGAAATAAAGGGTAGAAAGAATGAGACGTGGGGGGGGGGTGGCTAGGTGTTAAAAAAAAGACAGAAAAGAATGAACTGAATGAAAGAGTTCTATACTGTATTGAAGGTTTAGGAATTGTGAAAAGTACAGTGCTGACCAGTGCCAACAGAGCATTATGTCCAGTCAAAAGAACTAGAAGAATGGAACTAAAGAATAGACGTTATAAAGCCGATAAGAATTTTTCTATTAATTATGTTTTTCCTGGGGTTGGCGTTAACGATGCCAGTCAGTTTAGTTTGTTTTCAATATTCATTTTGCAATCTTGTTCTTTCTTAATGGTTTTGATTGTTTATATTGTAAGCTTGTTCTATTATTAATGGTTTTTATTCTTTATGTTGTAATCTTATTCTATTTTGATGTTTTTTATTGTTTATATTGTAATCTTGTTCTATTATTAATGGTTTCATTGTTTATGTTGTAATCTAATTCTATTTTAATGGTTTCATTGTTTATATTGTATTCTTGTTCTATTATTAATGGTTTCATTGTTTATGTTGTAATCTTATTCTATTTTAATGGTTTTTATTGTTTATGTTGTAATCTTGTTCTATCTTAATGGTTTTCATTGTTTATATTGTAAGCTTGCTCTATTGTTAATGGTTTTTATTCTTTATATTGTAATCTTATACTATTTTAATGATTTTTATTGTTAATATTGTAATTCTATTATTAATGGTTTTTCATTGTTTATGTTGTAATCTTTTTCTATTTTAATGGTTTTTATTGTTTATATTGTAATCCTGTTCTATTATTAATGGTTTTCATTGTTAATGTTTCAATCTTATTTTATTTTAATGGTTTTTCTTGTTAAAGTTGTAATCTTGTTCTATTTTAATGGTTTTTATTGTACCTATTATGCCGACCTATGATTCCCCCCAACAGAGGAACATTAAGTTACTTTACGTCCCTTGTGACAATCAAGCAAAATAACTACCCGCTCTGCGAAGTTTTCGTAAGAAAATTTGAGCAAAATTTACTGAACCTTAACTTAACTAATTATTTTTTTATTGATAAATTATTTTATTTGTTTTTACTATAATCTTGTTTTCAGGAATTGTTTTTATTTGTTTATGTTTAAATCTTTTCCATCTGGATTTTTTTAAGTTAATATTATATGATCTTTTTAATGGCAATTTTTTTATTTATTTCATGATGATTTATTGAAGTTTATCTTTTTACTTCTGGTGGTTTTAGTCTTAAAATTTTTGTTTTGTTTTATTCATATTATGAATGAAAATGATCCCGTTTGTCAATTGTAAATGTTTATTTTAAAAATTCTAAAAATTATTGTAATTAATTGTTATAAAAGAAAACATCTTTTCTAACGTGTTCATCTTTCCCTGCTTTAAGAAAAGATTCATCAAAGTTTCTACAAAAATATTAAAATCCAGAGAAAAATCACGATTTCAGTTTTTCTCATTTCAAGTTTTGCAAAGCTTTTGATTTAAAAGAAATTTTAAATTTGTTTTTTTTTCTTCAATGCTGGAAATATTAAAGTTATTTTTTACTTTGATGACATTTTATATTAACGGAAAGAGTGCTTTAACAATCTTAGAAATAATTTAAAATTTCATTGAACCGAAAAATTGAAAACTACTTCAGATTTGACAGATCCTACATTATATATAAAACTTGAAACCATTAGTTCAGAGATTTAAACCAAGTTAAAGCACATATATGATTAAAAGCTTATGTATTTTTAATCATAACTCCTGTTTTTCAGATAAAATTGCTTTTCTCATACTTAAAGTAAAGCGGTCACAAAGTCGTACCAGAAGCATAAGTTTAGCCTGCTCCTTATGTCTAGTTCAGTGTGAAACATGTGAGAGGGAATAAAAAAGAAATTATGGATTCAAAATCTTGTTTGGTTCAGTGATATTAAAAAAAACTTGAAAATCTTAAATGGTATTTCTCAAATAATCTAAAATCTTTTATAAAAGAAAAATAAGTGTTTGAACCACAAGTTCCTTTGCCCCCCCCCCCCACCCCCCGATAAACAACAGAAAGTTACCAAAACTTACCGTAGAGTTTATTGCCTTCATCCAGTCTCTACAAAAAAGAAAATGATTATATTAAATAAAGTAAACTAGATTAGGTAAATATAGTATATTGTAGGATAAATATACACACACTATACAGCTCTCTCCCCTGTGAATTGAAACTAATCCTGTTCAAGGAAAAATGTAGTATGTATGGTCGGGTGTCGGACTATGTACGGATTATGTACGTACTATGTATGGTCAGATGCATGATCAGCTGAAAAGAAGATACAACAGTCGGAAGAAAAAGTTCATAGCTCTTTTAAAAATTTTGTTAACCAAAAATAATTTTTGATTTAAAAATAAATTGTAAAAAATTTATGGTCGCGGGTACGGAACTATAAGTATGTATGATCGGGTGTTGAACTATATGCATGGACGGGTGTAGCTCTATGTAGTATGTAAGGTCGAGTGTTAGACTATGTATGGACGGGTGTTGAACTATATGTATGGTCGGGTGTTGGGGTATGTAGTATGTAAGGTCGAGTGTTGGACTATGTATGGACGGGTTTTGAACTATTTAGTATGTATGGTCGGGAGCTGAACTATGTTAGTATGTATGCTCGGGTGCTTGACTATGTATGGTCGGGTGTTGGTCTATGAAGTATGTATGCCCGGATGCTGGACTATGTATTGTCAGGTATTGGACTATGTAGTATGTATGGCCGGGTGCTGGACTATGTATGGTCGGGTGTTGAACTATGTAGTATGTATGGCCGGGTGCTGGACTATGTATGGCCGGATGCTGGACTATGTATGGTCGGGTGTTGAAATATGTAGTATGTCTGACTATGTAGTATGTATGGCCGGGTGCTGGACTATGTATGGTCGGGTGTTGAACTATGTAGTATGTATGGCCGGGTGCTGGACTATGTATGGCCGGATGCTGGACTATGTATGGTCGGGTGTTGAAATATGTAGTATGTCTGGCCGGGTGCCGGACTATGTATGGCCGGGTGCTGGACTATGTATGATTGATAAGTTTGGAAAATTGGAAAGCTTGATATTCAATTTGTGAAGATAAATATTCCCGCGGCCATTCAAATTTCTCTCTTTCTCCTCATCTATCTTCAAGCCTTCAAGCCTTCAAGCCTTCAAGCCCTCCCAAACAAATATATCATTTTACCCATTCAGGTATAATCTTCATACCTTCAAATAAATCCACAAAGTTCAAAATAAAAAAATGAATCGGTTTTCAAACCAAGTGGATGTAAAAGTCACGTCGCATTTAAATTAAAAAATTGAGAGTTTCTAGAATTCATAAAAATTTCTACTTTTTAAACAAAGTATATATATGCTTTCTTTCAGTATTATTTTATTTTGTATACTAGTATTTTTAAATATTTTTTTTCAATTATAAATAATTAAATAGAAAATTATTTATAATAATTAATCTTTTTTGTTAACACATGCTGTCTTGACAGTTGATTTATTTACTTTAGTTTGATAAAAATTCGTTTTATTGCCGCACTTCCGCAGTCTGTTATTTATCATTATTAACTGTGGTTTTAATGGAGTAGAATAAATAAAACTACTTTAATAAGGTTTAGAGTAGGAGGAGGAGGGAAATAAAATAAATATCAGCTGAGCTGCTGACCACCAGAAAACTGATAAAGTATTGATAAAATTATAAAGATGGAAATGCGTCTTCTTTTGTTATTGCTTTAAACCTGGTAGACATTTTATCAAGTTTTTAAAAAAACTTCTATGAATGTTGAAAAGGAACTGATCCTGAATTTGAACCCCGTTTTTTTACGACATTTTTTAGATCCATGCTGTAGAAACAACATTCAAAGAAAGTCCTGATTGACTCATTAAAAAAAACCTTCGGTTGTCCTAAAATCCCTTTCTAAATTCATGAACAATTCCTTTAAAAAGTTTGAAACGTAATTTGAAGTGACCCCCATTTGTATGAGAGACACTTAATACTTTGACAGATCAAGAATGATGTATTTTCTTTATTTTTAGCTTTATTGTTGATAACTTCTGTATTTAAACTGTGGACATATCATTATTCATTTTCCAGAGGCCGAATTTAAAGAATTAGAGCTGCGATTTGAATTTGAGATGCGGCTCAAACATGGTTTGTTCCACTTGAAATTGTATTCAGTGTTTCGAGATTTGAGCCGGCCATCAATTGGAACCGGTTTTTGGTGGTTTAGCGACACGGTTTAAATTCTTTAAATTCGGCCTCAGGAGTCAATGAAAATAAATATTGCAAATATTTGTTAGCTAGACAAACGTGTAAAGGCAAGCGATTCGAGCATGGCACGTTATATATAAAGGGTCACTTGAAAAGAAATCTACAGTCCCTTTAAAAGATCGATTAAAATCTACAGTCCCTTTAAAAGATCGATTAAAATCTTACATGAGGTCCATCTGTGATTTAGTGAGGAACCATTGGGCTTTCTTCTTGACAGAGGAGCTGATGGCGATAGCGAGGTTGTTGCAGCAGCCAGGCTGAAGACTGGGAGGATTCGGCACCCGGCATACAAACTATATACAGTAGTCGTAGTCGCATATATCAATACAATGAAGGCTACTTTCTATTTCAATTTTGATTTATATCAAGCTTTACAACAGCATGGATAGTGATACGTGCATACACATGGAAATAAAGCGAATTTGTCGATTCAAAAATATTCTCTCTGATTAACTTGTAATTTGAAAAAATGCTTGTAACCTATCAAAATTGGAATAAAAATGTCGTCTTCATAGTATTGATATAATCGCCTACCAGTTGCATACAGTGGGACACAGAAAACTGGGGAATAGGAAGACGATGGTTTAGCAATATTACATGTATTTGATGTTGTTATGAAGGAACTTGTTTTCCCATACGCTTTATGTTAAATGAGTTTGTTTACACTGCACAATTGTTGTTTTTCATGTTCATTAAACTATTTAAAATCATATCTCATACAGTCATCGTCGTACATATCGCTACAATGAAGACGATTATTGATTTAAATTTTGATTCCTATTAAGATCCAGATAGATAAGGAATAAAAGAAAAGCTGTAAATTAAATACAAAATATGTCTTCATTGTATTGATATAAACGCCGACCACTGTATCATCCTTATCCTGAATAGTTAATCCCCAAAACATATTTTATAACCCCTCTTTTATCACTCAAACTAGAAAGATATGACTTCCAGTCCCAGAACAAGATAGGTGGATACGGCACAAATTAATATTTAAATGTCGTATTTTCATGAATAATTAAAATATATACAATCATAGGGCGGAAATAATCCCAGTACAGTACAAGAATAAGATCGGGCCGGTACGAACTTAGTAAAGCAGTCCTAATCTCTGACTTTCCTAGCTTGAAATGATTGTCCCGCCGGGGCTAAGCAATTCATATTAACAAAACTAACATATAAAATATATGTTAGCTTTAGCTGACCAAACAGCTGGAGCAAATTGGCTGAAATTTGTTTCAGGGAACCCGTGGGTTCATAGGCTACTTCAACTATTTTTTTATTTTTACAGTCTATGGAATGGCTGGGAATGGGATGTCCGGACATGAAATGCGTGACTTTTTTAGATTAAAACATACAAGCCTATTTTGTAGCATCAGTGTAAATGGAAACTTTAAGCCACCGTAAGTAATACACATAAAAAGCTTATCTTAATACACCTAAATCTTATCTTAATACACCTAAATAGCTTATCTTAATACACATAAAAAGCTTATCTCAATACACCTAAAAAGCTTATCTTAATATACCTAAATAGCTTATCTTAATACACCTAAATAGCTTATCTTAATACACCTAAAAATCTTTTCATAATAAAAAAATGAAATAAATAGAGATGTTACAGCAGCAAGTGTATAACTGCATAATAGATAGAACTTGATTGACGTAAACCAATCGTTCTCAGCTATAAATGAACCGTAGCGGTAACAAAAATACCTTAAAAAGTCCACAAAGCCCTTATTAAAGTCTTATATACTTGTGGGTAACCCTGTACTACTCTGGTACTTTAACATGTGAGAATAGAAGTGATTTTTACTGGCTACTGACAGCAGGCCACTTTGTTGGAGGGATCCCCTCTCCCTCTGGGGTTATGTAAAACTTGTAATTTCTTCAAAACGTTGTTTATCAAATCTTAACGTTTTAAAAAAACTAAATTAGAAATGTCAAGTATATTAAATTTGTAAATAATTCTCATAAAATTATAGTTCAATGCAATTGTATGAATTATAGTTCAATGCAATTGTATGAATTATAGTTCAATGCAATTGTATGAATTATAGTTCAATGCACGAAACTTTATGTCTCATAAGCCTGAAATTAGAATTGAAGTTTGTATTTTAGCATTATTGTCCTAGAATTGTTTAAATTATTTCTCAAAATGGTATTGATATAATGATATTTATTCAGAAATTTATCAAAAATTATTGTTCTGAAATTGTATCGAATGTTCTCCTGAAATTGTATGGATTATTATTCTGAAATTGTATTGAATACTATGTTAAAATTGTATGGATTATTATCCTGTAATTGTTTTCAATATTCTCCTGAAATCGTTTGGATAATTATCCTGAAATTGTAATATATGTTCTCCTGAAATTGTATGAATTATTATCCTGAAATAGTAACGAATGTTCTCCTGAAATTGTATGAATTATTATCCTGAATTTATATTGAAGGTTCTTCTGAAATTGTATGGATTATTATCCTGTAATTGTATTGAATGTTCTCCTGAAACTGTATGGGTAATTATCCTGAAATTGTATCGAATGTTCTCCTGAAATTGTATGGATTATTATCCTGAAATTGTATTAATATTATCCTATAATAGTATGGATTATTTTCCTGAAATTGTATTGAAGTCTATCCTGAAATTGTATGAATTATTATCCTGAAATAGTATCGAATGTTCCCTGAAATTGTATGTATTATTATCCTAAATTTATATTGAAGGTTCTTCTGAAATTGTATGGATTATTATCCTGAAATGTTTTCAATGTTCTCCTGAAATTGTATGGATTATTATCCTGAAATTGTTTTCAATGTTCTCCTGAAACTGGATTATTATCCTGAAATTGTTATAAATGTTCTCCTGAAACTGTATGGATTATTATCCTGAAATTGTAATAAATGTTCTCCTGAAATTGTATGGATTATTATCCTGAAATTGTATGGATTATTGTCCTAGAATTGGGAAATGTTCTGAACCTAATTCAATTTAATAAAAGTTAGTGTAGTTTTCTCCGTTCTTAGCTGGATTTCTCTTTTTCCAGGGAAAATAGAAATACCTTTGCAAGAAGGATTTAAACCGTTTTCTACAATATCCCGGACGGAATTGAAAAAAGAAACATTTTAAGAAATACAATTGCATAAAAAAAACCTACAAATAAAGAGAAAACATATTTTATATGTATAGATGTAAATTTATGGATGGGAGAGAATCTACAGCTAAACCATGGACTACTTTTTACCACCAAGGAATTGAATCATAAGTGAAAAATGTACAGAACTTTAAGTAAAAGCAAAGCTTAAATTGTTTTTACATTTTCTATGAATATGGAAGGAACAGCATGGTCTGAGTTTACATCCTGGACATACATCGATTCTAGGTAATAATGCAAGGAATGTTATTTCAGAGGTGTACGCATTTTTTTTACTGGAGTGTGCTGCCTTCGGGCGGAAAAGTAAACACAAGAAGGATTTCACAGCCTGACATAAAATCCAGTTTCACAAAAATAATCTATGAAATATTCTGGTCCTAGGAAACTATTATGTGAATTATCAAAATTATCAAAATGTAATGCTTTAAACCTCCTCGGATACTAAACGAACACAGGTCCATTTATTCTTGTTTACAAAGTTTGCCCAGAGAGAACTGGTTTCAATATGTACGTAGAGTATACACAACCGCAATTAACTTTCCTTGCATTAGTACCTTGTTACCACCCAGGAATTGAATCATAAGTGAAAAATGTACAGAACTTTAAAGTAAAAGCAAAGCTTAAATCATTTTTACATTTTCTATGAATATGGAAGGAACAGCATGATATTTCTCATGTTCTTAGTTTACATCCGGGACATACATCGATTCGTCGAATCTTTTACCTGATCTTAAAAAGTCACGCATTCCAATTGTCGAACAGTTTTTATCTTACCGCCCTGCCAATTCCCGTACTGTACTTGTATGTGCCCTTCTCCAGTATGGATGATTGGAGATGTGTTCCTTTTTCGTGAAACAAAAACGAATAGCTAAAACTTTTTAACGAAAGTTTGCTTTTTATTGATCAAACTAAAGGAAAGATTTTTCCAACAAAGAATTTTTAAACAAATTGAAAAAATATTTTTTTAATGAAGGAATTAGTTTTTAAAATGAACTTTGGAAAACACGGTAGTTTTTTTTACTGAACGAACAAGTTTATTGAACTATAATTTTACTGAACGAACAAGTTTTTTTAACTATACAATTTTACTGAACAAGTAATCTGACTGAACAAACAATTGAACTGAAGAATAGTACAGTAAGAAAACGAACGAAATAGGTGGAAAATAAACGATAATTCTGAAAACGAACTAATTCAAATTTTATCTGAACGACTGAAGAAAACGAACGAAATGGTTCGTTAAAGAACGATGAAAGATCAAATTTTAAAAAAGCCGAATTATACCTGGCCGGCTGCGATGAGATCAGGAGAGTCTAGGAGTCTGAGAGATCCCTCGGCTAACTTGGCGTCCCTATCTCTGAACCAAACCAAACTACTATCCTCGTACAGTACAACGTACATCTCACGCCAGCTCCGTCCCAGCATTCTTTCTAAATATCAAGATTAATATTTGTGTTAAATTTAATTCAAACAAGAGCGTACTCAGGGAAGTAGGATGCAGTATCCCATAGCTTTATAGAAACCCCAATTTCGTCTTTTTTGGAACTAACTAAAACAAAAAAGTTGTCCCTTTAAGCAAACCTGATATGCTGTTAAACTAAGAATACATATAGATCAAAGTTTCAAATATCTTAGTTTTACACATCAGAGTCAGAATTTAATGAATTTGAGCCGCGTCTCAAATCCGCCAAAAACTGGTTTCAATTGAGCGCCGGCTTAAATCTTGAAACATGGAATACAAGTGGAACCAACCATATTTGAGCCGCGTCTCAAATTTAAGCCGGGGCTCAAATTCTTTAAATTCGGCCTCAGGTTGTAAAGATATAGAGATTAGGCAATTTTAGTTTAAGGCAAACATTCAATTCCTTTGTATTTGCCTCACTTTAGTTTTGGTTTTAAAAATATCATCTAAGATCTAAAAACAAAATGTCGTTTCTGGTAAAGAGCGTCCCATACTATTTTGAATTACCGAATACTCAAAGAGTTTTTTCAGCAAAAACTTTTACAACCCTTTTAAATTATTTAATCGTAAAAATCTACCATAAAGCTATGTACATTGCACACTCTAATATAATATGAGAAACCCTCTATATTTAAATATATTTGTAAGAATGAAACAATTATATATTCTTTACAGGTAAAAACTATCTAAAGATGTTTATAAAGTTTAAATACTAGTTTTTAAAAAAATGAGAAATGTTTTAAAAAAAACTTATAACTGATTGATGAAGATTTATCAGATTTTAATATATTAATTATATTAGAACATCTGCGGACGAAAAAACTAAATAATATCTTAAAAGCTTCTAAAAAATATAAATATTTACAAAGTGTCATCAAGTTATTGTACAGTAAATAATTAAATGATATAATTTGTTTCCCTTTTCATCTTTTATAAATAAAAACAATTTTTCAACACTAGAACATTTTTTTCCCTTCAAAGAAAGCGTTAGTGTGGATGGGAGCATGGAGTACATAAAACATCCTGAATAGTTTATTCTAATTGAAACCATTCCTCTAGGGAATCTGATTGCAACTTCAAATAAAAGCAGTTTTAAATTTTAAATATATTTTATAAAAACATTTCCATTTTGACAAAAAATTATGAAAATAAAACTTACTTTTAAAATGTAGGAGGTAGCCAGATTTTACTTGTCTTGGCATGGCTGAAAAAAAATATTTGTTTTAGCGAGCGAATTTAATAATGAAAATGTTTTAATAGTACATGCATTTGTTCAGATGATTTAATATTTCATCTTATAGATTTTCCGTTTAACTGGTTAGAAACATGACACACTGAACAAATAAATATGTTCAGGTTAAAATTGGAAAAAATATTTTGGAAAATTAAGATTTTCATGTTGATCTACAGATATAACACTTAAAGGGACTGTAAGCGTAAATTCAATTGACCCTCCATGCAAAGATGACAATGCCTGATTCGATATATTTTGATTCCTTTAAACCTTTATCTGATCATTATTAAACTTACAGACTGAAAAAAAACTTTAAACCAGCGGTTGAAAGTAAAACATTTATTTAAAATCTTAAACTCAGCAGTATTTTAAGAAAAACTTTATTCCATTGATTGAAAGCAAAAAGTTATTGAAAATCTTAAACCCACAGGTTGAAAGCAAAAAACTGTATTATCTCAGCGGTTGAACCAATAAAAATTTTTTTAAAAGGGAATGAAAATGCTAAGGAAAACAGTACGATTTTAGCGGTTGATCAAATTGTAAATTTGAGAAAAAAAGTTGATTTCTTATATTATAGACTGCGTAAAGTCAAGGCTAGATATCAACCGCTAATTCAACCGCTCCAGCTGAGTTTTTTCTTCAAAGTGTCATAATTATATAGAAATTCTCATATTTATTGACCGATTCTCATGCTTGAGGGTAGATTTTTGTGTATTGACGAATTTTTCTAAATAGGTATATTATTTGTTGTTTGTTGGTAAAAACTTATGTTTTCTTGTATTGATATACATGGCTTTATTGCTTATTAATAAATTCTCTTGTTCACTTCTAAATTCTCTTGTTTATTTTCTTCTTTTTATCAAATTCTCCTGTTTAATGATAAACACTGTACCTTGCAAAGATCTAGTACGCTCAAGAGTAAGCTTCCTTAAAGTAGTTGTAGGAGCATCATAAACCTAAACAACACAGTGGGCTACAGAATAGCTGTAGGAACATCATAAACCTAAACAACACAGTGTGCTACAGAGTAGTTGTAGGAGCATCATAAACCTAAACAACACAGTGTGCTACAGAATAGCTGTAGGAGCATCATAAACCTAAACAACATAGTGTGCTACAGAGTAGTTGTAGGAGCATCATAAACACAGTGTGCTACAGAAACATAATAAGTGTCCCAAAATTAAATTTAAAAGGAAGATTATAACTGGTTTAACTAGTTCAGCAAACAGTACAGTGAAGATATCTTAACGCACACGTTCCTTAATTCCTTAATTCCTGTTCAAAAATAAAAGGGGTAAAATTGTTCTCATCCGAATTTAAAACACTAGAAATTCAAGGCGCTTCGCGCCCATCTTCTATTTAAATAAGGAACATGTTCGAATTGTTTACATTTCAAAACAAAGATGAAAAAAGTTTAGCGGATTTTTAAAAAAAAATTCGCGGATTTTCAAATATTTAAATTTTTTTACAAAATTAAAAACCTCTTAAACACAAATTTTTAAAATTTCAATCATTCATAAACCTTCCCTGGGGTCCCTAGATGTCCCACAAAAAATTTGGGCCCGATCGGTTCAGCCGTTTTGACGTTTATTGGATACAAACAGACAGACAAACACCAAAACAGACAAACAGACAAGCCAAATTTATATATAGATAAAAGATTGAGTTAACTACAATTGTTAAAAATATAATAAAGATATTTGAGAGAGTTTACGGGAGTGTTCGTAAAAAAGCAAAAGGAGAATAGAATAAACTATTTATCTGTTATTTCTCTACGAGTTTCTGTTAAGAGAATTCTATATAAGCTATCCTCCACGGAAACAAAAAAGACTCTATGTCTGTCCTAGATCTTTACAGAGACACATGTATTAAAATTAAAACGCGAATTGCCCCCTTTCCTGTAAACAATTTTAACATTCGCAAACATTTCATTTAAAAACTATATTATTTAAACTTAAATTGAAATTTAAACAATATTGAAATATTGGAATAATTTCAATTTAAAGCAAACAATTGAATTGGAAATAACGAAAATTCATTAAATTAACAATTTTAAATTTATAAAATTTATCAAATATTAACTCAAATTATTGGAAAGGGCAACCTACGAGAAGACAAGACTGAAAAGACGATAATAACTTATTTATTTTGTTCTTGAATTAAGTCTGAGTTTTAAATGTAAACTTTATTTTATTTCCTTGTGTCCAAGAAATTGAGTCTTTGGAACAAACTCTGATTTTCTAATCACAATATGTTTGAAACCAAATGTCGTAGACCTTAGATATTTCAAACTCTGAATTCTGTTCGTTCAAATAATCTAAGTTTGAGGTATCAAAGGTTTAAGCCATCAAGTTGCACAGATATAGGGATTAGAAAATTGAAGGTTGTGGGAAATACTCCATTCCTTAATCAATTATTATTTAAAGGACAATATAAGCAGAAGATTGAATGTGATTAAAGGAATGTAGGAGTAATTGCAATTAACCCTCCATTTCAGAGTGGAATTTCAGAATCACAACGATGGATAGTAAAATCTAATAAATAACAGCTTAAATTAGTTTTTATTTCACCTTGTCTACAAAATGGTAGAAGTAGGGCATCTCACAAACAGTATTATCTTCTCATCTTCTCAATACTTTTCTGAAATATTTAGATGTTTAAAACCTAGAGAAGAATAGCTATTCATTCTTACCAATTCTTGTTTAAAACCTAGAGAAGAGTTTTTTCTCATTCTTCCCAATTCTAGTTTAAAATCTAGAGAAGAATATTTACTCATTTTTCCCAATTCTATTTTAAACCCTAGAGAAGATTATCTTCTCGTTCTTCCCAATTCTAGTTTAAACCCTAGAGAAGAATATCTTCTCGTTCTTCCCAATTCTAGTTTAAAACCTAGAGAAAAGTATCTTCTCATTCTTCCCAATTCTAGTTTAAAACCTAGAGGAGTATTATTCTCTCAATTTTCCCATCTCTCGTTTAAAATCCAGAAAAGTTTATTTTGTGTTCTTCCCAATTCTAGTTTAAAGCTTATAGAAGATTATCTTCTTAATTATTTCGAAGAAACTCGGTTTGGATTTGTTGTTTCTACTCTACTCAACATATTCCTGTCAAGATGAATGAAAGGATAAAAGGATTAATGGATAAATGAATGATGGGCCGGGGAAAAGGATTGAATTAAAGAATATCAAATTATCTATAACAGGATGAATTACTCTCTGTTTTATCTCTGAAAATCTACCTCAGATTAGCCGGATTATAATATAGATTATCTTCATTATTATTACAGCGAAAACTAAACTAACCGAAAACAGAACTCTTTTATACGAAAAATTTCGGAAGTAATAAATACATTTAGAATTAGTGTGTATTTATTCTTCTTTTTTGTAAAACTATCGGGATTAACAGAGTTCATTGAAGGTAAAATAGTTCTATTGGAACACAAAACTTGAATAACAATATTTACAAGTTTATTCTCATAATATTATTTCCCTTGATTACAGCTCATTTCATCAAAGAATTTATCAATTCTAATTTTATTTTTTATCTTTAAAGTCTTTAAAGTTTCGTTAATACACATTTTAGAGTAGAATTTATATTTTAAGTTATGGCGATCCAAAAAAAAAATAAAAGGATTGTCAAAGAAAATTTTGTTTTGAAAAGAATCCCATTTCTATCCCCTGAATTTTATTCTAAAACCCAATTTTTGAAAATTACCGATTCTAATATGCTCTTAGAAGGCAGTAAGCCAATGTGAAGAGAACTGTTAAGTGAGTTCTTAAAGTTTAAAGCTGTATAGAAGTGCAGGTATGCCGAGTAAGGTTAAACTGTAAAGAGCCTTTTCAACAATTTATTGCCTCATTGAAAACACTTGAGAAGGTTTTCAAAGTCCCGTTTACAAGATTTATTCTTTTTAAACCTTTTAGAAAGAACAGGAGCTTGTCGGCACTTCAGGAAAATATAGTTTTACTAGCATAAACATGATATTCAAGACGCTTCGCACCCAAACATATTTCTGATAATAATCTTTGATGTTTGATTATCATCTATTTGCAACGAAAATCTTTTGATTGCATTTTGCTTAATTTCGACAAGCCAGAAACCTCTTTCTGACTTCTGAGGGACCCCAGGGTGATGTGAGTTACCACAAAAATAATCTTAGGTTCGATAGTTTATCTGCTTCGACGTTTATTGAACACAAACAACATAATTCAAATTTATTAATCTAGATATTTATTTATTTATTTATTTATTTAGCTGAACCTAAATGGGCCTTAGTTTTTGTGTTTTGTGTGCCATCATAAAAAAAATCCATTTCAAATCTCTTCGAAATGTCAACTTTAAAATGTTGATAACTAACCAAAAATCGTTAATGATAATTTGTGAAAAAAAATCATGGATTAAATAATATGGTTGTCCATAAAGAAATAAATGCGTAAAAAAACTAGACATCATGATTGATGTTACTATCTGTCTGAAGTTAATCCATTATGCATTTTTCCCCAGTAAATAATGCTTTTTGGATTCTTGTTTTAATCAAAATAAAATTAAATTATTTAAATATTTTGGAGGATTTTTCTTTCCAAATTGGCGCATTTTATTAAAATCCATTAACTTTCTAGTAATTTTTCTCAATTTTTTTGTTCCATAAACCTTCCCATGGGTCATGTGAGGTCTTGCAAAAAAATTTGGCTCAATCGGTTCAGCCGTTTTGACGTTTATCGGTTACAAACAAAAAAAAAACAGACAAGCAAAGTATATAGATAGATTCATTTTCTATGTACATATTAATTATATTTATTGCATTTTTTTCTTTAACTAAAATTTTTTACATGTCACAAGATATTTTAGATTTCATTAAATAATATTTTCGTAATAAATTACCTCTGACTTACTTGTTTTTTTTTCAAATCATTTAAATGTTTAATTTTTTTCTCGATTTTAAAAACTTTTTTACCTATTTTACGAAATGATCTAAATCTTATTTATCTTCCTTCCTTTAAAAGTATATTCAAAACATAATTACTAGTAATAATTGCAAGCATACTTCGTCTGCACAGTGATGTACAATATACAATATATAAACGTAAAATAAACAATTAGTTCATTACAAAACAATGATGTGTACGTATACTTAATAAGTTATGTTCGGTAAAACTGTGCAAACATCCGAAGCATGATCATTGATCATTGATCATTGATCAGTATTGAAAGATAAAGTCGATTTTTTCCTTCTTCGCAGATAATTTGCATCTATCTAATAAGATTAAACATTATTTTAACGGACAAATAATAATAAAGATCAATGATATTTTTAGATTTTGAAAGCGTTGTTGTTTATAAACATATCTTTTTTATTATTACAATGTTCTAATCCTCTGACTCTGCGTAACTATAAAAGAACTAGTGAGGAGAAGTGTATAAAGATATCACAGCCTCGTAACATGATCAATGTTCAGATCATACTGATTCAGCCTCTCCTCAACCAGTATAGTGGAGGCCAGAGGACACAGGTACTGCATGGTACTGTACACAGGTACAGGGTACTGTACATAGGTACAGGATACTGTACACAGGTACAGGATACTGTACATAGGTACAGGGTATTTGTGTGAACATATGTAAGATACTGTGAACATATTTAGGATACTGTGAACATATGTAGGATACTGTAAACATATGTAAGATACTGTAAACATATGTAGGATACTGTGAACATATGTAGGATACCGTGAACGTATGTAGGATACTGGGAACATATGTAGGATACTGTGAACATATGTAGGATACTGTGAACATATTAAGGATACTGGGAACATATGTAGGATACTGTGAACATATGTAGGATACTGTAAACATATGTAGGATACATGTGAACATATGTAGGATACTGTGAACATATGTAGGATACCGTAAACTTATGGAGGATACTGTGAACATATGTACGATACTGTAAAAATATGTAGGATACTGTAACCATATGCAGGATACTGTAAGCATATATTCATACAGTAAACGTATGAAGGATATTTTAAAAATGATTTAAAAATTTACATTTCAGTCTTTACAGTGTACACTATTATGAGTTTCTTTATATTTTACCCGCGCTTAGAATCTTAAAACCATGCTAAGAACATTCCCGTGGCCGTTCTGAGTTCCCCAACCAAAATTTGAGGCAAATCGGTCCAGTGGGTCATGAGTTTTGAGCGGACAAAGAAACAGACAGACACCCAAACAAAGATTACAACTTTATACATGTATATACAAACAAAGTATATATATAGATGTACAGTTACATTCACCATTATCTTTATATTACAAAGATTATAGTCAGGTCTTACAAGATTTAAATTCAAACCTTTTTCAGCAGAAGTTATTTCAAACTTATATTCTGAAATTGTGAATCATTACTTCAAGGTTTAAGAAAATGCGTTTTTAAAGTTTAGAAACTCTTTATATCTCCGGTAATATTGAAAGCACAAAAAACGCAGACCACTTTTTGGAAATGCCAGGGCTAGGAGAATTATGTAATAAATGTTTCAAGAATCATACATGTTAAAGTAGATAGAAGACTAAATGTCACAAATAAATTCAAATACCAAAGACGACTTTCAAGTCGTCTTGCTATTGTCATGTTGCGTGGGACACCCTGTATAAGAGAGGGTTGGGAAGACTAAATAAATATTCCGACTAGAAATGTCGTCTTTCAAGACAATATTTCCTACGATATTTCTTAAGCACAATTATTCCAAGTTTAAACATAAACACTAAACAGCCGTCTATTTGTGTGGTAATTAACGTCGTGGTCCTTAGTCGTAAAGGAGTTGAGTTTTTGCCACAAACTGAAATGATCTAATCCCTATATCTTTAAAACCTGATGGATTGAACCTTTCATATTTTAAATTTGGATTAGTTGATTCAACAAAAATTATAGTTTGACATTAGGTTGCAAAGATAAAGGGGTTAGAAAATCGGAGTTTGTGGCAAAGACTCAATTCCTTTGCCAAATTGTCTTGTAAATGTTAAAAATAATTATGTTTTCATCCAGTTATGAAAGGCCATAATAGTTTAGTTTTCACATCACCATATATTCCAAAAATAATAAATACAAGGTTTTTAAAGTATTATCTATTTCAAGTCCAAATATGAAAATACACAATTACGAAAATTTCCGTAAACGTTTTAACAATAATAAAAATAAAAGAAAATTTTCTCTCTGAGAAAATATTCTGTTTGTCCAAAATTGGTAACAATGCGTCTACCTAAGTATAAGGCGCTTTGTACTTTGGAAATATATCAACTTATGCCTTATTTAAAATGTAAAATTGGACATAAACATAAACAAGGTTTCTGAATATTGAACCAGATTCAACATTCAAAAAATGAATGCAAGACAAGTGTAAAACATTCTATAGGATTAAAACTAAAAACAAAATAAAAATCATTTATGTAAACACATCTTAAACCAAAATAACTGTTTGCAAAAGATTTTTAGAAGGTCTCCGTTGATAGCAGTTACATGAAATTTAAATTAATAAATACATAAATACATGAAGAGAGGACTAGAGTTTTGACTTCTAAATAGATAAGGAATGCCATTTCCCTGTAAAAAGGGGGAATATAAAAACACATAAGAGTAATGCCACAATTTCAATTGTTAATGCCGACAATTTAATATGGCCATTGTGAGCAGAAAATTTAAAATGGCCGCTGCTAGCAGCTTTCATTCAGAAAAGACAATAATGACCATCGTGTGGAGAATAGTTGTGCTGTGGATATATGAATTTGATTTAAAATGGCCGGTAAGGATGATGATACTTCTGTGAATGTTGTTTTGTAGTACTGTATTGAGGTTTAAAGTTGTTTCTGCTTAAAAAGCATAGCCTAAAACAAACAAAGATTTAAAAATCGGAGGAAAGCTTTTAAATATTCTTGTTAGTTGAAAACATACCTGCAGGGACGGCAGGAGCATCATAGCTGCTTGCAAGAGGAGCGTTAGGTCCACCATAGCTGTCAGAGACTGCAGCAACTGCGGAGGAAGCAAGGGGATCAGCAGAAGGTGATCCATAGTTATCATTTGCAGGAACTGCAACAGACAGAGTTGAGTCTCCAAACCCAGATTCAGATCCAGCTGAATATGGGTCCTCGTTGGAGATTGGAGCAGCTTCAGGAGATCCATAGGAATCAGGAGCAGAGATAGTTGGACTACTGATAGATCCTCCACCAATAGGATCAGCAACAGGGGAGCCATAGCTGTCATCAGCAGACACTGCATCAGATGAAACTTCATATCCAGATGAAGCAGCAGAGTAGGATCCAGAGCTAATAGGATCAGCAGATGAGAAGTCGTTGCTGGCCACTGCATTGAAAGACCCAGAGCTACCAGAGCTGATAGGATTACCAGAAGGAGAGCCATAGCTGTCAGCAGGAGAAACAGCATCAAACGATCCAGAGCTTGAAGGTTCAGCAGAAAGAGAACTATAGCTGTCAGCAGAAGAAGCAGCATTAAAAGATCCAGAGCTTATAGGAGCAGCAGAAGGAGCACCATAACTATCAACAGCAGAAACAGCATCTAAGGATCCTGAACTGATAGGATCAGCAGAAGGAGCACCATAGCTATCAACAGCAGAAACAGCATCTAAGGATCCTGAACTGATTGGATCAGCGGAGGGAGCACCATAACTATCAACAGCAGAAACAGCATCAAAAGACCCAGAACTGATAGGATCCGCTGAAGGAGCACCATAGCCATCAATAGCACTTGCAACAGAACCAGATCCAGCTCCTCTTGGCTCTCCACCAAAATCATATTCCACAGCAGGGCTAGCAAATCCGGTGTCTGAGGTAGGACCTCCATATCCAGAACTTACAGGCTCAACAGATGCCACAAAACCTCCATAAGTAGGAGGACTGGGCTCAAAAGGACCAACAGCAGAGCTGGAACCATATCCTTCAGAAGGTATAGAGATAGGGGCTGCAGCAGGAGCTCCGTATCCATCAGAGATTCCACTAGCTCCTCCTACATTTCCATAGTTGGCGTTACCGGATGAACTTGACACGGCTCCTCCATATCCAGAGGACACAGTACCACTGAAACCACTGGATACACTGCCAGAGGGGGGACCATAGCTGGATGAGGGCTTTTGGTAGCCTAAATTCATAACAATATAAGTCTAAACTTAAGCAAATAATCGTAACTTAATAATTTACTAAATTAGTTTAAGAATTATTACCATTATTTCCTTTTCCATTATCGGAACCAGCAATTCCTTGTCCAATGCCTGATAAGAAATCTCCAGCAGATTTGATTATAGATCCCTTGATAAATAAAATTTAGTTGCATACTGTTCTGAGAAGGAGGGTTGTAACTTGCAAGGTTTGGTTTAAGGTGTTGCTGTGTTGACGAGAGATGCATATATGCGTGTACCCAGTATTTGAAAAGATTCAATTTTGATAGATGGATTTTAAATGATGGGTCCTCTTGGTATATTTTAACTTAATGCTTGAGCACATATAACATTATCCAGGGCTTAATATTTGTAACAAAAATATATTATCTAATAATCCTTAAATCCCTCTTGAATATGCCAACATGTTTTGTTATTAATGTTGAAGAATATTCTTCGATCCGTACCACCATAAGGCCTCGCCCATTTACAAATACTCACTATAGCTATCCTTCCTTATCTGTTCAGAATACAGAATAGCTTGCATGTCCCTCTCCCCTCCCCCCTAACACCCACACCCATCCCCCCTGCTTGGTCTTAACTTAAAGAGTAGTTTTACGTCAAATAATTTTGGACAGAACTTGATGAGAATTGACCGGATTAGTGAATTAGTTCCGTGTTTTCAATCATTTGCTTCAGACTTGAACAGGAGGACTAGACCTTAAAACAATTTTCACCCATCCTATTATAAGATGTATCTTCTCATCAACAACATAAACTTTAAAAAGACAATAATTGATCTTTTTCATAATGTATAATTTTATATCTGAGGAAAACCATGATTGTGTCTAATTATTGTCATATTCCTGAAGGGTCTCTAACTGGTTCTAAACCACATAGTTATCTCTTAATATCTACATCAAATGACCCATGTTGAATAAGAATGGCCTATTGTATGTGAGCGCGTATTTTGCAAATATTTGATTAAGTTTATTTTCAAACCTGGGCTTTACCGCGCCTTTGAGGGGTTTAAGCTTCTCGTAAAATCTTTACGATGAAATTAACTCTTAACAATTGATCGACTTAAACTTAGGACATTAATTTGTTTTTAGAAATAATATTACATCTTGTTGTTATAAATGAACCTTTCTTCATTTGAGCTAACTTTAAGGAAAGGAGAGCAAATATAAACCAATTCTACTTTTTAATGGGGTTAAGTGCAACTAAATAATGAATTACCTTGGCTTGAAGAATTCCGCCATCAATCTGGATAATTCCACCCTTCACCTTCCTGATAACATCAACAATTCCGGAGAAGATGTTTCCAATGTCGAATCCTCCTGGCTTTCCACCGCCTAAATATGTTTCAGTAAAGTATTAATCTTTAACCTTTTATCCTTTCTTATATGCTACCTCCATTGTAAGATGGTCTGCTTGGTCTGTGTGGTCTGTTTGGTCTTTTAGCAGGTCTTCTTGGTCGGTAGGATGGTTTCCCTCCACCTACTCCTCCTTGTTGAGATGGACCAATAATTGGCCCTTGCGGTGCGCCATATCCACTGGAGATTTGGCCGGATGGAGCTCCATACCCACTGGAGACCTGGTTAGAAGGAGCTCCATACCCACTGGAGACTTGGTTAGAAGGAGCTCCATACCCACTAGAGACCTGGTTAGAAGGAGCTCCATACCCACTGGAGACTTGGTTAGAAGGAGCTCCATACCCACTGGAGACCTGGCTAGAAGGAGCTTGACTTTGGGGTACTCCGTAACCAGCGGGGATTTGAGGTGCTCCATTGGATACCGCAAGTCCCAAGACAGCTATGCTTATCAGGCAGAACCACTGAAATATCGAACATTAAATACCCGTTGTCCTTTTCAAATAAACATCTTTATTACAAATAAATATAAGTTCTTGTACATATTTAAAAGTTCTTTTATCTTCCGTAAACTTTATTTGTATGCTAACTACAGTATGAATAAGTTTAGTAAATATGCAGAAACAGATTAAATGCATGAAAAAATTAACTATTTATCTATGTAACTTCATTGGAAGATTATACAAATGATGCATGGATTCTGATAATGCAAAGAATTTGCTCCGGTCGATAATAAACTATCATTTATTTTAAAAATGGAAATATTATCATTCTTAACTAAACAAAACAAAAACTAAATCTTGTTTTTAAGGATTAGAATATTTTAATAAGGAAATGGCTTTAGAAAGGATAAATGTTGTTAGGATAGAAAGGATGAAGGCTGTTAGGATAGAAAGGATGAAAGTTGTTATGATAGAAAGGATGAAGGTTGTTAGGATAGAAAGGATGAAGGTTGTAAGGATAGAAAGGATGAAGGCTGTTAGGATAGAAGGATGAAGGTTGTTAGGATAGAAAGGATGAAGGTTGTTAGGATAGAAAGGATGAAAGTTATTATGATAGAAAGGATAAAGGTTGTTAGGATAGAAAGGATGAATGTTGTTAGGATAGAAAGGATGAAGGCTGTTAGGATAGAAAGGATGAATGTTGTTAGGATAGAAAGGATAAAGGCTGTTAGGATAGAAAGGATGAAGGTTGTTATGATAGAAAGGAAGAAGGCTGTTAGGATAGAAAGGATGAAGGTTGTTAGGATAGAAGGATGAAGGTTTTTAGAATAGAAAGGATGAAGGTTGTTAGGATAGAAGGATGAAGGTTGTTAGGATAGAAAGGATGAAGGTTGTTAGGATAGAAAAGATGTATATTGTAAAGGCTGTTAGGATAGAAAGGATGAAGGTTGTTATGATAGAAAGGAAGAAGGCTGTTAGGATAGAAAGGATGAAGGTTGTTAGGATAGAAGGATGAAGGCTGTTAGGATAGAAAGGATGAAGGTTGTTAGGATAGAAAGGATGAAGGTTGTTAGGGTAGAAAGGATGAAAGTTATTATGATAGAAAGGATGAAGGCTGTTAGGATAGAAGGGATAAAGGATTTAAGGATATCAGGGATGAAGGATTTAAGGATAGAAAGGATGAAGGTTGCTAGGATGAAAGAAAGGTATATGGCTAGATGGTTTAGTGTACTGTAAAAAGGAAAGTAATAAGGATGAGTGTAGAGGGTACTACATGTATTGCAAGTATAAGAGGAAGGCATTAAAAGAGCCATTATTCAATATTTAGTACGTGTACGTCTTTTCATCTTAGGTTCAGAAGAATAAAGAAAAGAAAGAGAGAGAGAAGGATATTTTTTGTAAATAGCAGACGTTGTCAGGTTTAAACTTATACTAATCCATGCTTCTATACATACATAATACTTAGAGGAACCTTAACCTAAGTTAAGATACACAAAACTGCCGGTTTATAAAGGAAGAGGGGTAGTTGTGTAGGATTTATAAAGGAAGAGGGGTAGTTGTGTAGGATTTATAAAGAAAGAGGGGTAGTTGTGTAGGATTTATGAAGAATGGAGAGTAGTTGTGTAGGATTTATGAAGGGAGGAGAGTAGTTGTGTAGGATTTATATAGGAAAAGGAGTAGCTGTGTAGGATTTACGAAGGACGGAGAGTAGTTGTGTAGGATTTATATAGGAAGAGGAGTAGTAGTGTAGCATTTACGAAGGATGGAGAGTAATTGTGTAGGATTTATATAGGAAGAGGAATAGTAGTGTAGAATTTACGAAGGATGGCGTAGTAATTGTGTAGGATTTATTTAGGAAAAGGAGTAGTAGTGTAGGATTTATATAGAAAAAGGAGTAGTTGTGTAGAATTTACGAAGGATGGAGAGTAATTGTGTAGGATTTATATAGGAAAAGGAGTAGTAGTGTAGAATTTACGAAGGATGGCGTAGTAATTGTGTAGGATTTATATTGGAACAGGAGTAGTAGTGTAGAATTTACGAAGGACGGCGAGTAGTTGTGTAGGATTTATATAGGAAGAGAGTAGTAGTGTAGGATTTACGAAGGATGGAGAGTAATTGTGTAGGATTTATATAGGAAAAGGAGTAGCTGTGTAGAATTTACGAAAAATGGAGAGTAGTTGTGTAGGATTTATATAGGAAGAGGAGTAGTTGTGTAAAATTTACGAAGGATGGCGTAATAATTGTGTAGGATTTATTTAGGAAAAGGAGTAGTTGTGTAGGATTTATATTGGAACAGGAGTAGTTGTGTAAAATTTACGAAGGATGGCGTAGTAATTGTGTAGGATTTATTTAGGAAAAGGAGTAGTAGTGTAGGATTTACAAAGGACGGAGAGTAACTGTGTAGGATTTATATAGGAAAAGGAGTAGTAGTGTAGGATTTACGAAGGACGGAGAGTTTAATTGTGTAGGATTTATATAGGAAGAGGAGTAGTAATATAGAATTTACGAAGGACGGCTAGAGTAGTTGTGAAGAATTTATAAAGAGAGGGGGAATAGGGTGGTTTTTGGAAAGAAAAGTGTAGTTCTACGAATTAGCCAAAATATGGAAATAGTTTTATAAATATAGGATTTACTAGTTAAAATCAAAGGACATGAAAATAAAGCAAAGGAACCAAGTTTGCCATAAACTCAAATTTTCTTATCCCTATATTTTTGTATAAAAAATCCAAGGTCTACGAAATCGTACTGCAAAGATAAAGGGACTATTATTTTTTGAAAAATACTCAGTTCATATTACTGTAATGGATTCAAATAATGCCAACACGTTTAGTGGCTGAATGTAAGGAATAAAACTTTTGCTAGCTCAATTTAAAACATTTAAAACATCGACAGGGCACACCTCACCACCCATTTTTTAACAAATAAACAAGCACCAACACAAACACAAATTTAGAAATACAATTATAGTTATCATGTTGTTCAAATTTACTTTGATGTATTTAAGATGTTTTTACTTTTATGTTGATGAATAATTTTATTTTGACAAGAAAATTATCTTTTTTCATATTTCAAAATTTGTGGTTACTTCCCCCCCCCCACACATAGTTTATTGCTGTATGTTTCCCCATTGTTTGTTTGTGTGTATAGTGTGTGTATGTAATGGGGGGTGTGTGTGTGTGTTATGGTAAATAATATTCTATAAAAGACCCTGTAGGAACTATAGATACAGCCCCTAGCTACAGATAAACTAAGTGTTAATAGGTCCATCATCATTCCTTCATTCAGTCCATCTGTCATTCCTAGCTGTAGTTCACATTCAGTCCATCTGTCATCCCTAGCTGTAGTTCACATTCAGTCCGTCTGTCATCCTCAGTTGTAGTTCACATTCAGTCCATCGTTAATCCCTAGCTGTGGTTCACATTCAGTCCATCTGTCATCCCTAGCTGTAGTTTACATCCATCTGTCATCCCTTGCTGTTGTTCAATTCGACCAATCTGTCATCCCTAGCTGTAGTTCACATTCAGTCCATAGTTCATCCCTAGCTGTAGTTCACTTTGCTCTATCTGTCATACGTAGCGGTAGTTCACATTCAGTCCATCTGTCATTCCTAGCTGTAGTTCACATTTTACGTTTTTATACAGTAAATTTTTAATTTAAAATACTTTAAAACACTTTTTGTAAATATTTTCCTGTTTTTACCTTCTATTTTGCTTGATCAAATGACTGGACTTTGTTCTATCAGCTCCATTAACCTCCCCCCCCCCTTCCCTGCTTATCATGATGTTAATATTACTAGAGAGGGTCTGGTAAAATCATGTAGTATAAATTTTCATGATAGTTATCTTTACTACATATTGTTTCTGATATCATTAATCCACTACAAATTGAAAAATTGAAAACTTCCCTCCCATCCAGCCATCCCCTAAAGACACTTGAATTAACCAAAGGGATGTTGTTTAGTGTTCCCAATCATTTAATTCTAGATTTAGCATAAAACTTTGCCGGTATGCTTAAACAACACTTTTTTAGCTATTCGGTGAAGTTTATCTGATTCCTTTAAAATGTTGCGAATTAAAACCAAAGTTTATGAATTGATGTTTGTCAGACGCTGACCAAGTCAATTATATCATCCTTTCCTTAGTTGATCCGTTCGTAGTTAATCCGTTACTAGTTAATCCGTTAGTAGTTAACCCGTTACTAGTTAATCCGTTACTAGTTAATCCGTTCCTAGTTAATCCGTTACTAGTTAATCCGTTCCTAGTTAATCCTTTCCTAGTTAATCCGTTCCTAGTTAATCCTTTCCTAGTTAATCCATGTCTTAAAGCCTAATTAGGAATTTTCAATGAGTTCCTCCTATCTCTCCCAATGCGGCATAACCTTTAATTTACATAACTATGTTTGTGCATCAAGAAGCAAATTATTTTCCTTTAAGGCTAATATGAATATGAATTGTGAAGATGTATACAAGGGGAGGAAAATGTCAAAGACCATGAATACAGATTCAAATACTGAGTATTGTATAAAGTTAAAGAATAGAATAAAGTATAAATTTATCAAAGAAATGTTGTTGGACAAAATATTTAACTATTCCCTTAAAGGGACTGTAAGTGTAATTTAAAGTAACATTACATGCAAGGATGGCTTTGCTTGATTCCCATTTGCTACCAATAAAAGATTTGTCTGATCAAGTATGAATTAGATATCAATATTCATAATTTTGAAAACTGTTTACAAATGTAGTTTCTTATACAAAAGTGACTAGCGGATTTCTGCTGCAGGAAAACGTTTAGATATTATTAGAAAGAAACTTTTTTAAACCTAGAAAAACGACAATATTTTCCAAAATTTGAACAGATTAATATTTTAAGGGTGCCGTTGTGAATTGGGCATTGTCATCTTTGCATAAAGGTTCACTGGCAATTACGCTTTAGAGTCCTTATAAGAATGAAAACTTTTGAAAATAAAAATCAAATATCAAAAATATCAAAAATAACTTTTCTCTTGCATCTCACCTTTAACCC